TTGTTGCAGGAGTTCCTCTTATCCAGTTTTCAGTTCTGTCTCAGGGGTAATTTTTCCACGAGTAGTTGTAAATTGGCTGTGTCCATGGGAGGAGGTGAGTTCAGAGTCTGCCTACGCCGCCGTCTTTACCGAGACTTATACTTTCTTACATGAACATACTTTTTGTTGTTGTTTAGCATCTTTTCATTTCATCTTGAAGAATTCCTTTTAGCACTTCTGTAAGATGGGTCTAGTGGTGATGAAATCCCTCAGTTTTTGCTTGACTGGGAAATTTTTTATCTCTCTTTACTCTTAAAGGACAGTTTCGCTGGTTAAAGTGTCCATTGTTGACAGTCTTTTTCTTTCAGCACTTTGGGTATATCATCCCACTCTCCTGGCTTGCAAGATTTCTACTAAGAAATCTGTTGTCAGTCTTACAGGGGCTCCTTTGTATGTGACAAGCTGCTTTTCTCTCATTGCTTTCAAAATTATCTCTTTGTTTTTGAATTTTGCTAATTGAATTTTAGTGTGTCGTGGTGTAGAACTCTTTCAGCTCTACCTATTTGGGAACTTTTGTGCTTCATATCTCAAGATGCCTGTTTCTTTCTCTAGATTTGGAAAGTTCTCAATCATTATTTTTTTTAAATGAGCTTTCTTATTCTCTTTTCCTTCTGGGGCTCTCAAATGTGTATATTATTTTGCTTGATGGTTTCCCATATATCCCATATGATTTCTTCACTCTTTCCCCTTTTTATGCCTCTACTTTGATAATTTCAAATGTCCTTGAAGTGTCTTTGAGCTTCCTGATTCTTTCTTCTGCATGATCAAATCTTGTGAAAGCTCTTTATTAAATTTTCCAGTTTAGTCATTGCATCTTTGAGCTCCAGAATTTCTGTTTGGTTCCTTTTTATGTTTTATATTTCTTCATTAAACTTTTTATGTTCATGTATTTTTCTTCTGATTTTGTTTAGTTGTCTATCTGTGCTCTCTTGTTACTCATTGAGCTTCATTATGACAATTATTTTGAATTCTTTGTCAAGTAGTTTGTAGATCTCTATTTATTTAGGGTTAGTTACTGGAGAATTATTAGTCTTCTTTGATGGCGTCATGTTTGCCAGGTTCTTCATGATTTGTTTAGGCTTGCATTTGTGTCTATGCATTTGAAGGAGCAGACACCTCTTCCAGTCTTTACAGACTGGTTTTTACAAGTTAAAGATCTTCCTCTGCCAGGTCCCTGTGCTGATAGGACTGCCTCCAGGATGATGGTCTAGCAGAGCTGGAGTCAGGTGATGTGGCTGCTGCCAGGTATGCTGTTGGGTCTATGGTCAGTGAGTTTCTTAGCAGGGACATTGATGGGTGTAGCTTCTGCTGGGTTCTTGGGTGGGCAGGACTGCCTCTGAAGTGTGGTAGAGTGGGGCTGGATCTGAGTCACAGGGTTGCTTCAGAGTCAACAGTCAGGTATGCATTTTGCTGTCCTCTTACCAAGGGCACCAACGAGCATGTCTCCTTCTGGGTACCTGGGTGCACAGGACTGCCTCCAGGGCCACAGTGGCAGAGGCTTGGAGCCAGGTGATAGAGCTGCTTCTGGGTTCACAGTCATGTCCACATTGCCAAGCCTGTTACTGGGGGCGTGGATGGGTATGGCTTCTCCAGGGTCCTTTTGTGGATGGGACTCTTGGTAGGACCATGGAAAAGCAAGGCTGGATCCAGTCCACAGCAGGCTGGAGCTGCTTTCAGGTCTGCAGCTGGGACCACAGTAAGCAGGCCTGCCAAGAGGCCATGGACCTAATTTCTCATATTGGCCCTCCTCAGTCTTTGGATCCACCATGGTTTTGCAACCTCCCACCTAGATCGAAAGGCTCTTGAAACGGCACTTTCATCCACGGATGGCTGCCATATCATTGTTTCTGTGTAAGAATGAAGGTTAAGGACTTCCTATTCCACCATCTTGCTGATGTTGGATAGGAATAAGGAGTTAGCATAATGATAGGACAAAAATCAATTACTATCACTCCTTAGCATTTACTAAGACTCCTGAATCTCAAAAGAAAACCCTTTGGTAGGAAGAGAACAGCAAACTCAGCTGTCTTTCAAAGTCCCACTGAGAACTCAGTCTTTCCCCAGTTCATTGACATATCTTAGGGTTTCAAGAGAGATGGCTAGGACCAGCCTTTCCCAATGCTATAACTCTCTGAGCTTTCTTAACATCAAGACTTATCTTTCCAATTTAGGTCACCTAAGATATTTTTGGAATTTTTTGCTATCAAAAATTACCAGAAAAATAAAATGTGAAACCATAAAAATGGACTAGTTATAACAACAATATTTCTAATCTTAGACCATCAGTCTGTCTACAGGTTGGCATGCATTCAAGGATCCAGCCCTCATGGTTTTCCCCCTTCTCAGTCATTTGAGAATTGACTTCTGAGAGAGAAAGCTGATTAGAATTTGAGTCCCACAAGTCCCAGGATGGCTTTATAACCTAGTGTGACTGATAGATCTCTACTCTTTCATAGCCCATGTCCCTCCAGGTTGGTTCTGTTCTTCATACCTCTTCACTCAAGTTTGAATGCCCATGTATTGTGCAGTTTCCTCAGGCCCTGTAGATCCCAGGCCCCTAGATGAGGAATTCACTTCTCTAACCAACCTCAAACTATATGCTCCTGGTATTCAACCAGTCCAAATGATCTGTCTACAGAAACTCACTCATGGAGGTCCTATTCTGACACTGACTGTTAAATTCTCTCCCCATTTCCAATTACTGGGAAAAGAAAAGCTTTCACACTATTGTTTGTGACATGTTACTTCTAATTGCCAAGCCATGATTATGAAAATTCACTGGGTTTGTTTGTTTGTTTTCTCTTAGGATTTGTGCGTCTGGTTGGTGGGGATGGACCCTGCTCAGGGCAAGTGGAAGTGCATTCTGGAGGAGACTGGACTCCAGTGTCTGTTGGAAACTTCACACTTCCCACTGCCCAGGTCATCTGTGCAGAGCTGGGGTGTGGCAAGGCTGTGTCCGTCCTAGTAGATGTGCCATTCAAAGTGTCAGATGGACGAGTCTGGGCTGAAGAGTTCTGGTGTGAAGGGCAGGAGCCTGAGCTCTGGTTCTGCCCTAGAGTGCCCTGTCCAGGAGGCACTTGCCACCATAGTGGGGCTGTTCACATTGTCTGCTCAGGTGAGATGCAGAGCAGGAC